AACAACCCTTCAGAGTTGTCCCGAACTGAGGGAAGGGACTTAGACATTTCTAGTACTGCAATAACTTTCCATTGGTGTATGCTGCTCCCAGGAAGTGTGTGGAGCAGTTCCCTTCTGTCCAGGACAATTCCTGAACAGAGGCTCAGCTGTGTGCCTTCGTAGGGAACAAGTGCCTTGGCTGTGAAGTGTGTATCTGAATGTGTACCACAGTAAATCATGCTTTTCTCTAAAATTCCACAGAATCATATTTTATTACATTTGGGGCCTGGTAGTAAATACTGACTAAGTATACAAAAAGCTATACTCTGGAATATACTTAGCCAATATTCACTACTAAGCTTTAAATTTCATTTTTGGGTAATCTCATAAAAGGGTTGGCACAGTACATTTTATAATATAGTAATATTTGATAAATACCTCTTAAAAGAGTGATAAATGAATGAATAAAATGCATTCTTGGAAATTATTTTAATATTAAAAATACTAATGCTAATTAATGAGGAAAAATGATTTCCTTTAAACATAGAACAATTCTATAAATAAAAATGGGCTGCTCATGTTGCATGGCATGACACTATTCCACTACCTGTAAGCAAGAAGATAGATGTCTACTGGTTAAATTGATTTCTAAATGTTCCAGGGAAGTGGTTTTCAAATTGTGGTTCTGAGTACTGGTTGTGATGGGGTTCCATCTGTGGAAATCCTCTCCCACTCTCCTCCAGAGCTGCTCAACTTTTACTGATTTTACTTATTTAGTTAAAAAAGTTTAAAAGGTTGCTTAGGTTATGTAACATGAACAAGTTAAATTATTCAATATGAAATTCCTCCCCCCCCCAAAAAAAATATAACAATTAAATGTAGCTTCTCATAATAAACTAAAGATTGCAAAAAAGGACATATTAAAACTTATATATGGTTTACATAATATAACACATGGTGTTTATTTTCATGATTTGTTGGTGTGTGTTTTCTTTAGCCATGCAATTTTGACAGGAGTGAATAAAAGTACCACCACGATCAGTGAAAAGAGTAAATGGTTTAGTACACAGATGAAAGAATTAGAAGCCAAAAAACTTGGTACTTAAAACAATTTAGCTGTGTAACCCTTAGCAAGTCATTTATTTTTTTCTGAGGCTCAGTTTCCTCTACTTTAAAATTGAGGGAAATAGGTTAGACCAACGCACCGTTACTCTGAAATTTTATGAATTACTAATAAAAATTAAAAATCCTAAGTACATAAAATAATAAAACAAAATAGAAGGGCACTTTCTTCACAAAATTTTTTACAAATCTCTTTTCAAACAATACCCTTGGTAGACTTAAGAGTATAATACTTGTGGCATTTTATTAAACCAAGATGCTGTTTATCACCAAATTATACAAAATTGAAAGTGGAAGCTAAATCAGTTAGCCAAGCAAAGTTTTAAAAAGACATAGAGTATTAGAACTGAAGTAATAAAATTAATTTTATTTGAAGATGATATCAATGTCTGTTTGAAAAACACAAGAGAAAAAACTACAAAGAAAGAAGCAAGAACCAGTAATTAAGTTTTACAAGTTGATCAGGTTAATGACAAAATGTATTAAACATCAATGACTTCCTCATATCCCTACAATAACTAGTTGGGAAATATAATGGAAACATATCCCACTCATGATAGAACACACACGTGCATGACCCGATAAGATTTTAGGAACGAATACAATGGAAACATGTATGAAGAACACTATAAATCTTTAATGAGGGTTAAAAAGCTGATCATATGAATAGATACCATCCCCATATATGGGAAGAGTCAACAGTTCAAAAATTATAATTCTCTCAAAAATACTTTACAAAATCCATGTAAATAACAATGTTGTAGGAATGTTGATAGTATCTGGGAGAAATAAACATTTGAGAATTAAACTCTAATTTTTGAAAAAAGAAGAAAAATGAGGAAACACTTCTTTTACCAATTCATACAATAATTTATAAAGCTACTACACAAGAGTACCAGAGAAAGCCACCCCCCCACCCCCCTTTACTGGACATTTATACTACTTATGTCAATTTAATCACTTTTAAACTCTTTTGTCTTACCCCTATAATGAGAATACAAATTAATTTAGGGACAGAAACTCATTCTTTTACTTGTTTATACTCTGTGCAGCAGTACATAGTTTTGTAAAGTATATATAGCATGCCCTTAGTATAGGGCATGTAATTAAAAATTTTATCACTAGAATATTGCCATTGTAATAAAGAGCCTGACCTCATTTGTGATGTATGGCTTCTGACTTCTTTTTAAGCCTCTCTTTCCCTTTCCTCTTGGGTGCTACATCAGAACAGGCTGATTAAGAAAGTCCCTTCTGCACTTCCTTATTTGATTCCCTTGGGAAATTTAAGCCTTTAAAATCTCCAGCCCACATGGGTGGGACTTTTCCCCAGCCCCACCCCCTAGCCACTAAAAAGGCTCAGCCCACTCCTGCCTTCTGCTTTGCAAAAGCCAGCCTGGATCTGTTTGGGCCCACTCTGCTCTCTTAGAGATTCTCTGTGTGAGTAATACACTTCCAAATTCTTTTGGTGTGTGCAGTATGATCAGCCTTGACCTCTGCATAGGATGACCAAAAGCACTCATTTGAGGCAAAAAGTAACAGGACTGGGAAAAGTGGCATCATTTTTTAAGGTCAATTTGAAATGTGAGACAAAAAATAATGAAATTGAATATTTGCAATCATGTACATTATTCAAACTTAGCCTCCTGATACACAGAATGGATATACGAGGGGTTTTCAAAAAGTTCATGAAAAGATTCGTATTATCTTTTAATTCTATTACTCCATGAACTTTTGAAGTACCCTTGTATTCCTTTAAAAAGTACCACTGGGGTAAAAGTTCAGAGGGACAAATATGCAAATAGTCCCCCAAATAACATTTCATAATTATTCTATTAAATTATTGTTTTGATTATAAATTTTCTAACAGCAACTTTTTCTATGTTGAATGGGTACATAAGAGATACCCTACATATTATGGTGTGTGTCTCTCTTTCCTTCCTACTGACTGATTCTTTTACTAAATAAGTAACATTTCATAATTATTCTATTAAATTATTGTTTTGATTATAAATTTTCTAACAGCAACTTCTTCTATGTTGAATGGGTACATAAGAGATACCCTACATATTATGGTGTGTGTCTCTCTTTCCTTCCTACTGACTGATTCTTTTACTAAATAAGTGTCTCCTAAGCAACCTCCTAAAGTATAATTCTATCTTTGTGAGAAAGCTGCGGAAGAACAAATATATTCAGGCTCCTAGATCCTAGCCAAACCATGAATTAATAAATTGGCACGATCAGAATCATGTTCAACAACCTCCCTTGCATTCATACCTGCCAACTCTCTACATAGATAGAGCTGGGAGATTTTGGCAACACCTAGAGATTAGATTTGACTTATTCATTTCTCAGTTGAAAAATCTTTCTCTGCCAATATATTGAATACATTTAATTCCCAAGTATTTCTGTTGATAAGAGCCTAAATTCTCATAGTACTAGGAGAAAGATGCAGACGATTCTCCATTTGAAATATTTCTTTTCCTCCACTTCTTGCTTTTTTGTACATCTAGTTCCCTTCTAACATTAAATTTTTACATTTTTCTTTGACTTTTCATTTGACTGGCTATTTTTCTTTGTGTTTCAGGAGAGAAAGGCAAACACGTGCAGAAAGAAAAAAGATGGGAAAAATAAAGAACATAAACTTCCAAATGGCTGTCTCCTTTGTGTAAAGGGTACAGGAGAAATTTGTTTGTTTTATTAATCATTTCATCTTAAATCCAAGGAGCTGTGCAAGACAAACGGAAAATGTCAGCAAGGATGACATGACAAAGAGGCTAATAAACTGCAGAATGCTTATACCATTGAGAGGGGCAAAACAACATAAACTGCCTTCTGGAAATGGAGCAGGTAGCTAAGCCAAAGCAGCTCACAGCCAGGCTAAGCAACACATTGACGGTAAAGAAGAATCATGCAATCAGGTACCCCAAATAGTTCAAAGACGCTGCAACATATTAACTGTGTATGAATCATACTTTATTGTAAAATAAATTAAAGGTCATTACATCCAATGCCTTACCATGTACAATCTAAATGAAAAACTGCTAAGTACATGGTTAATTTTTTTAGTTGATGGTGTGGTTCAAAACAAACAAAAAAAAACTCTTTATACTTTGGGATAGATACCAAAATTATTTGATATAGCCAAGGCAATTTAAAATATCTCAATTACCATATTTTTACTTGCATGAAATTCATAAAATTCCCTTACAATACGGGTTTCCTTTGTGATCCTCTGATCTTTTTCTTTTTTAATATTTTATTTCTCCATTACACTGTTTTGTGTTGTGAGTTGGCACAATATTAGTGAGAAAAAAAGTCTTCTAAAAGATAGCTCATCAGTGATTTATTGTATCCTCCTTACATGAAAATTAAGAGGAGTGAAATGCTCATCAGAAGTTACCTTCTTGGGGGCCGGCCCGGTGGCGCACTGGATAGTGTGCCGCTTGGGAAGCGCGGCGGCGCTCCCACCCGAGGGTTCGGATCCCACATGCAGACCGGTTCCCGCCCACCGGCTGCGCGAGGTGCGGGAGCCACGCCGAGGGGCGCACCCC